AAGTGTTTTCGCTGCCAAAAATCCTATGCATATGACAACTTCTAGTCGTCTGGCTTACGTTAAAAAAAATAAGTTTATTATGAGGAGTAAATACTCGAGCGACGTTAAAAATCTGTCACCAGAAAGAGACACATGGAAAAAAAAATGCTGCCTTTTGGAAAAGAGGCTTTTAGTTTTTGTTCTGTCCTTTTGTGAAATGACGTCATCGCATTATGAAGCTCAGCTTGTCTGCACTCAGTGGTGCATTAGAAACATAAACATAGATCATACACGAGCTGAACAGGCACTCTGAAACAGCACGTGGTGTAGAGCAGACGTGAGCAATGGCGTGGAGCAGACGAAACTGCTTTAACAACGATCAATGAACGATTGTTAACAAAATCGTTACTCTGGTTCTTATGATTCATCTACTTAGATCTACTATTTGCCTTACTTGTCGAAAAACGTCTTTCCAAAGTGATCTAAATCTTCAGCGGAAAACCATTCGGAAATTTCATTTACGTACATGAACGTATGGACCACTTGTTCCATGTTGTTATAGACTGTAGAACAGCGGCTCTCAATCTGTGTGTCGCTACCCCTTTGGGGGTCGAACGGCCCTTTCCCAAAGGGTCGCCTAAGACATTCGGAAAACACGTATGCTCTATAGTTATGAAGTAGCAACGAAAATAATTTTGTGGCTGGGGATCGCCAAAACATGAGGAATTGTGTTAAAGGGTCGCGGCATTAGGAAGGTTGAGAACCACTGCTGTAGAACATCTAGCCAAGATTGGTGACTTGGGGCAAATAGCCACTTCCTCTTTCCTCCGGTGGGCCATACGTCCCATGTTAGAAAACACTGCATTAGAAAACTGGTGCTTTGGGGCAAATAGCCACGTCCCCTTAACCCCCCCCCCCCACACACACACACACTATTAGGCCTTACGTCCCGTGTTAGGAAACACTGCATTAAAAGATTGGTGACTCTGGGCAAACAGCCACCTTACTTCATTAGAAGATTGGTGGCTCTGGGCAAATAGCCACCTCACTTCATTAGAAGATTGGTGGCTCTGGGCAAATACTCACCTCCCAGCATTTGAAGATTGGTGGCTCTGGGCACATAGCCGCCTAACTACATTAGAAGATTAGTGGCTCTGGATCAATAACCACCTCACTGCATTAGAATATTGGTGGCTCTGGGCAAATAGCCACCTCCCCTGTCCCCCGTTGGGCCTTACGCCTCATGCTTGGAAACACTGCAATAGCTATTATTAGATATGTGGATCTGGGCATATGGCTCTGGGCATTTGGCCATATGCCTAGAGGACATTAAGGACGTCGAGAGTGTCAAATAACCAACTTTATGTTTTAAAAAAATGTATTACTGACTCCTTAGTGGCGGTGTTGGAAATGAGAAAATGGGGGGTGGAGAGTTTTGGGTGGGTGGTTACATGTGTGGACATAAAGAAAACTAAATTAAGACACAGGTTTGGGGAAATCTCACCCCCCCCCCCCCAAGTAAAGATCGTTGAACAAAAAGCGAGATGTAACCTAGCAACCTACCGGCGGCCTTCACATTGCTCAGCTGTGATGGGGGAGGTAATCCTGAGGGGGGTGGAGAGTTTTGGGTGGGGGGTTACATGTGTGGACATAAAGAAAACTAAATTAAGACACAGGTTTGGGGAAATCTCACCCCCCCCCCCCCCAAGTAAAGATCGTTGAACAAAAAGCGAGATGTAACCTAGCAACCTACCGGCGGCCTTCACATTGCTCAGCTGTGATGGGGGAGGTAATCCTGTCCAGTCCGCTTTTGTAGATGTATTGTTCACTGCGTATTCTCTGGAAACGGTCAACATTTTTTCTTTCATTTCGTCGTCTCGCCTAAAATCAATATTCATAGCGATAATTCTCCGTGAAGCTGAAATTTCTTAGGAAGTCCATTATGTCACTAAATGAGTTTCTGAATGCCTTAAACTAGGCACATACCAGTCTTTGACTATATTATACAAGAACATCACACCACATCTGACTATATTACACAAGGACATCACACTACATCTTTGACTATATTACACAAGAACATCACACTACATCTTTGATTACATTACACAAGGACATCACACCACATCTTTGACTATATTACACAAGGACATCACACCACATCTTTGACTAATTACACAAGAACATCACACAAAACATTTGACTATAATACACTAGAACATCACACCACATCTTTGACTCTATTACACTAGAACATCACACCACATCTTTAACTATATTACACTAGAACATCACATCTTTGACTATATTACACTAGAACATCACACCCACATCTTTGACTATATTACACAAGAACATCACACCACATCTTTGACTTTATTACACTAGAACATCACACCACATCTTTGACTATATTACACTAGAACATCACACCCACATCTTTGATTATATTACACTAGAACATCACACCACATCTTTGATTACATTACACAAGGACATCACACCACATCTTTGACTATATTACACAAGGACATCACACACCACATCTTTGACTATATTACACAAGAACATCACACAAAATATTTGACTATACACTTAAAGTATAAATGAGAAAATGTCCCAATATTGTTTTCCTGGTAGTCCACAGCCCCCTCCCCCACCTTGGAGAAGTGCAAAAGAATCTGCAGCTGCTATTAGTTTGTTATAATATAAATATACATATTTTTTAATGTTCAGCTAATAAAATATATTTTTTAAGACAACAAAAATCACCCTTAAAAAAAGACATTTATTTATTTTACAATACATGTTTACAAGATTTTTGTTACTTAAACATTATCTGTTACCATAATTATACATTAATATAATGTTTATTTAAAGAACTAAAAAAAAAAACACTATAGAAATGCTCTCCGAAATATAAAGCATAAAAACGTCATTTAAATAGACTACGATTATCACAGAATCGGCACTGGCCAAGGGCCCTCATTTTAATATGATACGCAATTATTAAATAAAGAGAGGAAAAAACTAAAAATATATATGAATGAATGCCAGCTATAGTAAGAGTCAGTCTTGGAGCTGTAGTAAATGTAATAGCAATCAAACCACCACCCCACCCCAATTAAAAAAAACCTCTAAATCCCGGAAAGGTTCCTGAAAGAAAAATGCATCATTATTTTAGTAATGATAAAGAAAGAGATTTATAATAAATATCATGAGCTTTAATTGTATAATGTACACAAAAATACATCCAAAAATAACATAATGAGCACCTGTCTGCTTTTTAAATTTTAAATTCTAAAAAATCCACAATCCTTTTCATGTATCCATCCATTGCTGTGACGAAATACATTTGTCGGATGTGAAGATTTTTTTAAAATATGAATGGTCGTAGTTATTCCATATGTTATCAGGTCTTAAAACAAACGTAAATAGTGAAAATAAAACTATCAAAATCAGTCGTCATAGTTACTCAAAAAAGTGTGTGTTTTTTCTCCAAAATTCAACAAAGTACATGAATTTATATTAAAACAAGACTTAACATTATTGGTTCTAGTGGAGGCATGTGCAATCATTTACATTGCAAGGACCTTGATGCCTGGTTTAAAAATATATATATATCATTGAATTGAACACTGTGTTAAAAGAAAATGGTATGGTTTGGGGTAGGGTTAAGTAAAAAATGATCTTTTGATATTGATGCCATATTGATTGTACAATTATTTGAATATCAGATTTTATTATTTTATTGACCAATGAGTTTGATTTATTTTTTTTAAATTTCATTACTAGGTAATACTTGGCATGGGCTCAATCCTCATCTTACACCAGTGCTTCGATTAATATGTTACCAAGCACAAGGCTATCCCTTACAATGCACATAAATCAGAGATCTCTGAATTTCTCCGATGAAGTTCAAGCCTTCAACTTTTCCAAGACATCATAAGTGGCCAGATACAACACCAAGACGAAAGCCAAAACTGGGTTCTATCTTGTTACATATGAAATTTGAGACCACCATTGCCCATACCTTTCACTGATTTAAATAGATTTTTAGAGCAAAGAAGTTAAGTTTTATTTTCAGTCTTTTTTGGAAAATATTTTTAAAAATTTTAATTTTGAGTTTCTGATTGGCAGACTGACCTACGGCTGAGTTATCCCCCTTGGTTATGATCATAGCCATGACAGGCGCCTTAGGCCTTACTGAACATAGTGTAGGCTCCGACATGTACTTACTGATAACTTGCAGATTATTTGATTTGTTAAAAAATATAAACATGAACTAAATTTTCGGGGGAAATTGAAAAAGGTCGAACTTAATCTCTGAAACAGGCTTACAGGATTTGTATACAACATGATGCCAGCTGAACTTGATGAAAAACAAAACAAAAACACTCAGATCTTTAGTTGGCTAATGGTGGATGATATGTGTGTAAACATATCTAATATAGATACAGATGATTTTTCTACAAAAAAAAGAAAAAGATTTTAACAAAAAAAAAAAGAGCAAAATTTAATTGGTTGGTAAGTTAAACAACCTCTTCCCCCCCCCCCCCTCCAACAGGCCGCAACAGTTAAGTGCTCTCAAAAATGTATGTAGGCATCATAAACTAAGAGCAGTAGTAAAATACTCCTTTAAATTTACATATAATTTGAATGTAGATTATTTCAAAATTAGATAATATGTATTTTTAAAACATTAACGGTACTTATTTTTTAAAAATGATAGTGAAAAAAAGTTTCCATTTACTTTTTTGTTTGTAAAAACCAGCGACAGGCCAATGGTTGAGAACATGTCTGTAACAATGTCTAATATAGAAACAGGTGACTTTTTTCACTATCATTTTTAAAAAATAAGTACCGTTAATGTTTTAAAAATACATATTATCTAATTTTGAAATAATCTACATTCAAATTATATGTATTTTTAAAACATTAACGGTAAGCCTCCCCGTCTTCGATCTATGCCACCACCCTTTGCCTCCCCATCTTCGACCTATGCCACCACGCCTTTCCCACCTCAGTCAAGTGTTCTACACATTGTATGTGGACATTTTAAACTAAGTGCAGTAATGCAATACTCTTTTTAAATTTATATATAATTTTACTGTAGATTTTTGTTAATGTAGATCTAATGTATTGAAATTTTTTATTACTTGTTTAAAAAAAAATATGGAAAAAAATTTGCTTTAATTTTTGTTCGTTTTGTAAAACCCAGTGACAGAAAAAGGGTCACCTGTTGAGTGAGTGTCACAGGCATGAGCATAGTCAAACATATTAAATGGGGAAATGTTCTGCAAATAATCATAAGAATTGTGTTGTGTTTTAATCGAACAGGAAATAGCTGACTTCAGAGAAGATTGACAAGCTGATACACCAACGTCAGTTACACGCAGTTCAGCGTGTCAATCTTAATAAATGGATACTTCACATCAGGGATTCTTGGCTTATAATATGTGTGCCACCCCAAAAATAAAGTAAACTAATGAAGCCTATATGAATATCTATGACCGCAGCTTGTGTCGTGATTTTACCCGATTCACTTGTTAAATGGTAAGAAGGAAAAAGAATGAAAAAGAAATTATTCAATGGTGTATGAGAATACAAAACCCTTGTATGAAAATAAATCAAAATAGATCAATTAACTTGCAGACCCCATTGTATTTTGATTACATTTATTTATATTTGAAGTCATACAAACTTAAATAAAACTAGTATCAGTTATATATCAACTACCACTTTGTTTTCAACACGTCGTCTCTTATATATACTATGTACAATCTTAGTTTCTAAGTGTATCTGAGGCTGTAGCCATTCAAGTCATATTTCTGATGTGGCAAGCAATCAACTTTGGCTCCGTTGGTCTAAGGCAATGTCTCGGTCAGGGGTAAGGCTTGATAGGGGAAGGTGGGGCGGGGATGGAAGACCCGGTGTCACCAAACACATTGGAGTAGGAGTTCTTGAGGAACTGGACGTAATTCTGCATGGAGCGGTTGGTAGAGTGGCACTGCTCCAGTCTGTCCTTCAGGTCGTAGAGTCTGGAGTTGAACTTGCGTTCATTCTGTATTAGTAAAAAAAAATTGAAAGGAAAATAGGTTAGAAAATATTTGGAGGTAACTGATATTGAATAACATGCTTGAACTGATGTCATTTAAGCTACCACAATCCACTGAGATCTATAGCAATCCAGTGATAGCTATAGCAATCCAGTGATAGATAAAGCAATTCACTGAGAGCTTAAGCAATCCACTGAGAGCTATAGCTATCCACTGAGATCTATAGCAATACACTGATAGCTATAGCAATCCACTGAGAGCTACAGCTATCCACTGTGAGCTACAGCAATCCACTGTGAGCTACAGCAATCCACTGACAGCTATAGCAATCCACTGAGAGCTACAGCTATCAACTGAGATCTATAGCAATACACTGATAGCTATCGCAATCCACTGAGAGCTACAGCAATCAACTGGAAGCTACATCAATCCACTGAGGGCTACAGCAATCCACTGAGAGCTATAGCAATCCACTGAGAGCTATAGCAATCCACTGAGAGCTGTAGCAATCCACTGACGGATACAGCAATCCACTGAGGGCTATAGCAATCCACTGACCACTACAGCAATCCACTGAGAGCTATAGCAATCCACTGACAGCTATAGCAATCCACTGACAGCTTAAGCAATCCACTGAGAGCTATAGCAATCCACTGAGAGCTTAAGCAATCCACTGAGAGCTACAGCCATCCCAAGAGAGCTTGAGATATCCACTGAGAGCTACAGTAGTCCACTAAGAGCTAAAGCAATCCACTGAGAGCTACAGTAGTCCACTAAGAGCTAAAGCAATCCACTGAGAGCTACAGTAGTCCACTAAGAGCTAAAGCAATCCACTGAGAGCTATAGTAGTCCACTAAGAGCTAGAGCAATCCACTGAGAGCTATAGTAGTCTACTAAGAGCTAATGCAATCCACTGAGAGCTACAGTAGTCCACTAAGAGCTAAAGCAATCCACTGAGAGCTACAGTAGTCCACTAAGAGCTAAAGCAATCCACTGAGAGCTACAGTAGTCCACTAAGAGCTATAGCAATCCACTGACAGCTATAGCAATCCACTGACAGCTTAAGCAATCCACTGAGAGCTATAGCAATCCACTGAGAGCTTAAGCAATCCACTGAGAGCTACAGCCATCCCAAGAGAGCTTGAGATATCCACTGAGAGCTACAGTAGTCCACTAAGAGCTAAAGCAATCCACTGAGAGCTACAGTAGTCCACTAAGAGCTAAAGCAATCCACTGAGAGCTACAGTAGTCCACTAAGAGCTAAAGCAATCCACTGAGAGCTATAGTAGTCCACTAAGAGCTAGAGCAATCCACTGAGAGCTATAGTAGTCCACTAAGAGCTAAAGCAATCCACTGAGAGCTACAGTAGTCCACTAAGAGCTAAAGCAATCCACTGAAAGAAACCCCAAACCCACTGAATGTACAGCAAGCTATTGTCATCAGATGGAATTCGGCTAGTTTACAACCATCTATACAGCAAGCTATTGCCAGCAGATGGAGTTCAGCTAGTTTACAACCATCTATACAGCAAGCTATTGCCAACAGATGGAGTTCAGCTAGTTTACAACCATCTATACAGCAAGCTTTTGCCAACAGATGGAGTTCAACTAGTTTACAACTAACTACTTCAAATATTTGTTTAAACTTATTCTGTGAAAATATCAGTGTAAAATCAATGCTTAAAAAAAAATTGGCATTCCCAATGATAAAATTCCAGTAAAACTCTGCAGTGGCTGGCATCAGTCCTGGCTAACAGCATAACAAACATGGAGCCCCCCACTACGTCAGCCACAATCTCCACAGACAACAGTTACTAATGGCCTCTCTAATGGATATTGATTTTAGATACCCATTGTGAAAAAGTCGGATTCCCTGTGAAAGCTGGGGTAACTTGGTTGGTGACTAAACAGATTATATGTGTGATGTAATGGTGACTATACAGATTATATGTGTGATGTAATGGTGACTATACAGATTATATGTGTGATGTAATGGTGACTATAAGGATGATATGTGTGATGTAATGGTGACTAAACAGATAATTTGTATATAAGGTGATGAAACAGATAATTTGTATGTAAGGTGATGAAACAGATAATTTGTATATAAGGTGATGAAACAGATAATTTGTATATAAGGTGATGAAACAGATAATTTGTATATAAGGTGATGAAACAGATAATTTGTATATAAGGTGATGAAACAGATAATTTGTATGTAATGTTGACTAAGCACATGATGATGTTATGGTGACCAAACAGATTATGATGATGTTATGGTGACCAAACAGATTATGATGATGTTATGGTGACCAAACAGATTATGATGATGTTATGGAGACCAAACAGATTGCAATGATGTTATGGAGACCAAACAGATTGCAATGATGTTATGGAGACCAAACAGATTATATGATGTTATGGAGACCAAACAGATTATAATGATGTTATGGAGACCAAACAGATTATAATGATGTTATGGAGACCAAACAGATTATAATGATGATATGGAGACCAAACAGATTATAATGATGTTATGGAGACCAAACAGATTATAATGATGTTATGGAGACCAAACAGATTATTATGATGCTATGGTAACCAAACAGATTATTATGATGCTATGGTAACCAAACAGATTATTATGATGCTATGGTAACCAAACAGATTATTATGATGCTATGGTTACCAAACAGATTATGATGATGCTATGGTAACCAAACAGATTATGATGATGCTATGGTTACCAAACAGATTATTATGATGCTATGGTAACCAAACAGATTATTATGATGCTATGGTAACCAAACAGATTATGATGATGCTATGGTAACCAAACAGATTATTATGATGCTATGGTAACCAAACAGATTATTATGATGCTATGATGACCAAACAGATTATTATGATGTTATGGTAACCAAACAGATTATGATGATGCTATGGTTACCAAACAGATTATGATGATGTTATGGTAACCAAACAGATTATTATGATGCTATGGTGACCAAACAGATTATCATGATGCTATGGTGACCAAACAGATTATTATGATGTCATGGTGACCAAACAGATTATGATGATGCTATGGTAACCAAACAGATTATTATGATGCTATGGTGACCAAATAGATTATTATGATGTCATGGTGACCAAACAGATTATTATGATGCTATGGTGACCAAACAGATTATTATGATGTCATGGTGACCAAACAGATTATTATGATGCTATGGTAACCAAACAGATTATTATGATGCTATGGTGACCAAACAGGTTTAATAGTTCGCAGGAGAGACAACCTTTAGAGCAGAATTTCAATTGTGCCCCTTAAATTCTTTACGCATTGCCTCCCCCCTCCCTCCTGCATTAAAGAAGGGGTATTTTTATATAACAGTCCATAGAGAATTATGAGGTTTGATTAACTTCAATCTAAGATATTCAAATCATTTTGTTGTGTGGGTCATTGCCAGTTACTCAAGAAGCTACGAGCCACACTTGACCACTCACTGCGATTACTTTAAAGATTACCTCTTCTTTCTCCCGCTTCAGTTTTGCTTGTTCAGCTCGTATCTGACTCAGCTGAGTTTCCAGGTCAACAATGCGTGTCTGATATGTTCTTTCCTGAAAAAGAATGTTTATGCAATGTTTAATAAAACTGAAGTTTTTACAGCCAGCCAAAACAACAATGAATTTTAGCAAATTGTATTCAAAAGCCCATCATTGTTTGAGAAAGTCATTTCAATTCTTTTTTAAAAATTAAATTATTTTTTTAATATTGCAAGAAATAAAAAAAAATTATTTTATAATTCAGCGGTTCTAACACGGGGATCGCCCAAGGCCATCGGAAAACGTGTATATATGAAGTAGCAGTGAAAATAATTTTATGGCTGGGGATCAACACAGCATGAAGAACTGTATTAAAGGGTCATGCCATTAGGCAGGTTGAGAGCAACTGGTATAATTTTATGTGAAAGACTTTTTTTTTAAAATTCAAACTGTTTTTAAAGCAAAGAGGCTTAACTTTTAAGACTGTATGTCCAAAAAGACACACACAAAAATAAAATTGTAATAGCCAACAACATCTATTATGAGTCTCCTATGACACAAATACTTACAATGTATACATTATAATATTTTTAATGTTATTCACGCAAATCATTGACATATGTAAAAAATGTTACATATCTACACTAATACGGCCGTAGGGCTTGTTTTTAAACTGCAACAGTTGTTTTCAGCCACCACCACTTACCCTTGTCCCATTATCTCATGTTTCCCAATGACGCAAGTTTCCTATGACAGTTTCTATTGACACAGGTATCCCATAATACAAGTTGCCCTTGACACAAAAATTTCCCATGAGGCACAAGTTTCCCATGACACAAGTTTTCCATGACAAAAGTTTTCCATGACAAAAGTTTCCCATGACACAAGTTTTCCATGACACGTTTCCCATGACAACACAAGTTTTCCATGACAGAAGTTTCCCATGACAGAAGTTTCCCATGACAGAAGTTTCCCATGACAAAAGTTTTCCATAAGACAAGTTTCCCCTCACACAATTCTCCACTGACACAGGTATCCCATAACACAATTTCCCCTTGACACAAGTTCCCCTTGACACAGGTTTCCCTACCTTTGAGGCAAATCTGTCCCTGGACTGCTCCTGTATCTTCCTGTTGTCTGACAGTGCATTCTCCAGCTGTCTTGTCAAGCTGGCATTTTCCCTGTTCTTCTCCTCCATACGCAGCTGGCCAAACAAGAAAAATGTGTTCCTGATAGGGTTATGTGAGATTGAGGGTGTTATGCACCCTGGATATGGTTATGTGCACTTGAAATTGATAATGTTACATGCTCTGGATGGGTGCATCTGTATTTTAATCTCCTCAAGATACACATAACAAAAGGAAAAAAAAGTGAGGGGTGGTTTGTGTCTCCCCCCTCCCCAAACCCCTCTTAAACAAAGACTCACGGACTCCTGGTGTATAACATCCTGTAGTTTGACCTGACTGGCATGGAGCTCTGTGTTCTGTTGTTCCAACTCTTTCAGTCTCCTGAGGTGTAGATAGAGGACACAGGAACATGAGCTATATTTACATGATTCTTATACCACTCTAGACTGTCACACATGTCTCTTGGGGTGTCATTAAAAAAAATCTCTAGACTGTCAAACAAATCTAGACTGTCAAACAAATCTGCACTGTCATGCAAATCTAGACTGACATGCAAATCTAGACTGTCCAACAAATCTAGACTGTCAAGCAAATCTAGACTGTCATGCAAAGCTGTAGAGACTTCCGTTTGCCACGCATACCTCCCTAGACTCCCTCCATATTGTCACACATGTCTAGAGAATGTCATACTACCTCTGATAGCTGTCACACAGATGCCTATGGACTGTATTAATACCTCTCCAGACTGTCACATATATCTATGGAATTTCATAATATCTTACTATGCTTTCACAAATATGTCTATGGAATTTTATATCTTATTATACTGTGGCACATATGTCTATGTACTGTCATTGTGCATTTCCGGAATGTCACATATTTCTGTCACTGTCAAAATACCTCTCCAATGTCATTGGAGTGTCATTCATACCTCTCCAGACTGTCACACACACATATGTCTATGGAATGTGATACATACCGCTCCAAGCTGTCATACTTGGACTGAAGAGATCTGTTGGAATCCTGCGAGTCGTTGCATCTGCTCCTGTACTGCTCGGCAGTCTCTGAGTGGAACTCAAGCTGGCAAAATTGTGTGTAATAGTGGTAAATAGTGGTGTGCTTATGTTGAAGGATGTGTGTAACAGTAGTAAATAGTGGCGTGCTTATTTTTGAAGGATGTGTGAACAGAGAATTACCCGCATCAGCTTACCTTGGCAGTGAGCTCAGAAATAATCTTCATGCTGTCAGAATTCCTCCTCTCGTAGGTCTGGATCTTCTCGTTGGCGTCATGGAGCCTCAGCTCAGTGGCTCTGAGCAACTCCGGCAGGGGCTCCAGCTCCTGCAGGCGTTGGTGCAGCCGCTGCTTGACCTTCTCAAGTTCGTGCTCCCCTTCCAGCTGCATCCTCTCCTTCTCCCTCGAGTGCTCCTCGAGGCGGATGAACGACTCGTCTGCCTCGTTCCTTGTTCGGCTGGCCTGGAGACAGTGAGTCAGATGTTGTTCACATGTGTGAGTGAGTACAGTCATAGACATGGTCCCCGACAACTATTTCAACTAAACAGATTGGTGCTATATCCTAATAACAATACATTGTTGATGCAAACTTTCCATACAAATGAGTTAACTAATTAGAAACAAAAATTTTCAAATATACGTTTTACAAAAAAAAAAAATGCTGTGTTGTATTATCATAAAATCAATACACATAAAAACTGAAATGGTTTATCCCAGGCATAGAATGATAATTACATATGGCATGTAAATAAATGAAATTCAAAATTTGCCCTATGAGCTCTGCACTTTAAACTCTGCATCTGATAAACCTGTGCAAGCAAAACTAGCCCTATGGGTCAGAGGTTAAATGAAATGTTTATTTACCATTAGTGTCCATTTCAGGGTGTAATTTGAGTGTAATATAATGAAATGGAACTGAATGAAATGATAATATTGTTAATGTAGGATTGGAATCATTCTCCTGGTATTTCAGGCAATATGTTTATTTTCAGAAAATTGGCAGTGTGCAGCTCACAAAATAATGATGAAGACAATGAAAAAAAAAATGAAAGGAAAACAATGAAGCAATAAACTCAGGGGGGGGGGGGGGGGGGGGGGGGGGGGGGGTGGTAGAGTCATGGATAGAAGTTATGAATAAGCTTTTGTCAATGCAACAATTTAATTTTTTTTTAAATATGTGAATTCTAAAACAATACCATGACAATTATTCCTCTTTACATACAAATGTCATTTAAGTTTTTATTTAAATACAGAATATTTGGCCAGAAAAAAAATTGACACATAATGCTACTAACATTTATTACAATTGACTCTCCCTTCCTAATTTGTTTTTTCATTTACACAATCAGACAATAGTTATTTCTCCTTAACAGAAATGAGTTATTCCCCTTATGAAAAAAAGTTAAGTGCCTATAAAAATAAAAACCAACATATCTGGTGAAGTTCTGCACAGGTGACACCCTGTGAGGCAGGTAAAAGTAAAAACTGCTTGAATTGGTTTAAATGTATAAACCCTGTGAAGTGAATAAGAGGCAGAACCTTGTTACGTGAATAAGAGAAAGAACCATGTGAAGTGAATAAGAGGTAGAACCTTGTTACGTGAATAAGAGAGAGAACCCTGTGAAGTGAATAAGAGGTAGAACCCTGTGAAGTGAATAAGATTTTCAAACATGTGAGGTAAATAAGAGGTAAGAAACCATGTGAAGTGAACAAGAGGTTGAACCATGTGAAGTGAATTGGAGGTAGTACCATGTGAATACATACACACACATTCAAGATTACATTCACAACGTTGTTCCTCCCTACTATAACAGGAGGGCCCTGGCAGGTCAACGACCTTGAACTTTACCAGGCATCCATGTCTTCTCCGAGTGGATAGAACAATAACATTGGTCCTCTTCAAGAACAATTTGATCTAGCAGCATAGGGAGTTAATGCCACAGTAGATTACTTGCACATATTAGACTCAGATCATTAAAAATTATCCAAAAATGATAGTTTCAATAGTGCAGACAGACTTTTGACTCAGTGGGGTTTAAATCAGGAGATAGGGTTAAATCAGGAAATGGGGTTAAATCAGGAGATGGGGTTAAATCAGGAGATAATGTTAAATCAGGAGATGGGGTTAAATCAGGAGATAATGTTAAATCAGGAGATGGGGTTAAATCAGGAGATAATGTTAAATCAGGAGATGGGGTTAAATCAGGAGATGGGATTAAATCAGGAGATGGGGTTAAATCAGGAGAAAGGGTTAAATCAGGAGATGGGGTTAAATCAGGAGATGGGGTTAAATCAGAAGATGGGGTTAAATCAGCAGATGGGATTAAATCAGGAGATAGGGTTAAATCAAGAGATAATGTAAAATCAGGAGATAATGTTAAATCAGGAGATGGGGTTAAATCAGGAGAAAGGGTTAAATCAGGAGATAATGTTAAATCAGGAGATAATGTTAAATCAGGAAATGGGGTTAAATCAGGAGATAGGGTTAAATCAGGAGATAATGTTAAATCAGGAGATAATGTTAAATCAGGAGATGGGGTTAAATCAGGAGATAATGTTAAATCAGGAGATGGGGTTAAATCAGGAGATAGAGTTAAATCAGAAGATGGGGTTAAATCAGGAGATGGGATTAAATCAGGAGATAATGTTAAATAAGGAGATAATGTTAAATCAGGAGACAGGTTTAAATCAGGAGATAATGTTAAATAAGGAGATAATGTTAAATCAGGAGACAGGGTTAAATCAGGCTAAAGAAGCTAATATTTCAGTTACTAATACATTACAACCTTTGGATTAATGAAACTCAATATTATTTATGAAGCACAGAACATAAATGCAAACATGCAGTAATTTCTCTGATCATGTGTGAACACAGTTTGCCAAACCCCTGTTGTAAGGTATTTAATCTAAATCCAAGGATGCATACAACTAACAATGATAACTCAAACTCTAACTTGAGAGAACAAAAAAAAAAAGAGCAACAGGATTAAATTAACAATAAATGAACTAAAATGTATCGAGAAAAGCTGTTAATGTTGACATTACAAGGATTTCTACAAGGGCAGGTTTCCATCTGAAGCTGTCTTTCAGAACCTACAAAATGTGGGTTGAAAAAAGGAGTTTGTTACTGTGGATCAGAAATATGGACATAAATCTGTGGTTGTGCTGTTACTGGTTGGACACATCAAGTGAAAAGTTTAGTCACAGATAAGCAGGTGTTGGAGTTGCAGAGTCACTGACTCTGATTTCAGGTGAGGAGAAAAGTCAATGACCTTTGTTTATTGCGGTTTCCTCAAGTCGCTCTGGATTCATTTACCCAGAGTCAGGGGTCTTGTCTTGAAAGACAGGAGTTTTATGCCTAGAATAAGGTGTCACATATTTTGAGACTTCACTTTTATTACTTCTTTTTCTACAATTATCCTAATAATATAAGTGACATCAAGATTGTTTACTCACTGATTTACTCACTATCTGGCTTAGATATGAGACTAAATGAAAAATTTCCCGCCAATAGGAAGTTGGCAGACCTGTTTACACTCAAACTCTTAAAATCGTACAATATCATCACAAAATCGTTCAAAACATTATCTTAATATTAAAAAAATAAACATACAGTATATATAATGTACACACCTCCAAATCGTACACTGTACCCCAAAATCGTAAGAGTAAACAGGTCTGAGTTGGGGTTGAGTAAAAACAATGTAAAAAATGTTAGTTTTAAGTTACCTGCTCCTTGTATTCATCCACCAATTTCTCATATTGTTTGATTGTGCCTCTCAGCTGATGGATATCTTCCTCTGTCTGTCTGGACTTGGACTCTAGTGAGTTCATGGTGTTCTGATAGATCATAGACAAACATAGACAAAAGTTAGACTCTAGTAAGTTGATGGTGTTATTTTAAAAAAAGACAAACATTGACCTCTCAGCACCTGTGATTTTATGGTGCTCTTATAGATAATAGACAATCTCTGGCACCTGTGATTTGATGGTGTTCTGATAGATCATAGACAAAAAATAGACAATCTCACGCACCTGTGATTTCATGGTGTTCTGATAGATCATAGACAATCATAGACAAAATTTAGACTCTAGTAAGGTGATGGTGTTATATAAAAAAAAAGACAAACATAAACCTCTCAGGCACCTGTGATTTGATGGTGTTCTGATAGATCATAGACAATCTCTGGCACCTGTGATTTGATGGTGTTCTGATAGATCATGGACCAATCTATGAAAATCTCAGGCACCTGTGATTTGATAGTGTTCTGATAGATCATGGACCAATCTATGAAAATCTCAGACACCTGTGAGTTGATTGTGTTTGGAACAAACTTGGATGACCAAGGCTATCAAGTTGCTAAAATACTTTTGATTTTGTCCTCCAATTTAGCTACTGTACAATTTTTAGAATTCTCAACTAGCCAACACTAAATAATATTAGAATATTTTGTGTTTCCTATTTGCTTGTGATACTTCTAATTTAAAATATTAGTTTTATATCATAGTATTAAAACATAATAATTAAAAAATAATTCATCTAGTTCACTCCCTTGCCCAGTGGGTTATCATGTTTAGATTGGCTACTGTTCCGGACATCAAGCCAGGTTAAATTCAACTACAATTCCTTAACATGCCAGGAAGGATTGATAAAGCAGTGAATATATATATATATATAATATATTTTATATTGACCATGGAGTGTTAACATGATTTGTCTAGCCATAGCAGATGTCAAGTAGAAGAATGAATCTTAGCAGTGCCAGCTCAAAAGTTTTCAACTAGTGTCCCACAAGATTTTGAAATAAATTATTAATAAATTATAAATTATTAAATTCAAAGTAAAGACAGGTAGTTATGACCACTTTGGTTAAAAATTATAAAAAGACTCATTTATTTTTAAAAGGTGTTCCCTGGACATGTAATAATTATTTCTTAGTGTGTTTTTATATTAAAATTGTTGAATACCCCTGCATTAGCCAAAAATTTGCAGATTAAATGAAGCTCTAATTGAGTCACATTAAAACAATTCTACAAGTAGACTTAAAATTGTCTTTTGCTTTCAAATTTTTCTTTGGCATAATTGAAGCTGCAATAAGCGAGTGTGTGTGTGTAAGCAGATGATTTCATCAAGTGATTTCAACTTAAGCACATCTGTTGTTATTTAATGAAAATTGGATCCAAAAACATTTATTCACAAAATAATATAATTCTTTCTTAATATATTTATCTTTTATTTAAGAGTGGTAAAGAAATGCCCGTAACTGCTGAGAAAGTTTGCTCATCTGTTTTGACTTTGTGAGCAGAGAAAAATTAAAAGTAAAATTTTTTGTGGCAAGATCATGGAAAAATTAGTCCAGAACTAATGAGAATGTCTCTATAGGATAGGTATTCTTAATACATTTTATTTTTTTTAAAGTAAAATAAATAAATGGGCATTCTCTAAAAAAAGCAATTTTAAGAATTTAATTTTAATTCACATTTGAAAAGTTGCATACGTTGAGAAAAAGGAGAAATATCTTTAAGTAAAAAGTATTTACTTTGAGACGTTCATTTTCCAGCCGAAGATTTGTACTTTCTGTCATCTTGTCATGAAGTCTTGAGGTCAAGGACTCATTCTGAGATTTAGCATTCTCTTCTATCCTATCCACCAGTGCCTCCAACTCTGATATCTTCCTGTGAAAGAGAGAGTGGAAAACAAAATTCATTATCATGTGGTCTAAAATACTTAAATACAATAATATTTTTAATTAGAAATCACTTGTACAAGAAATTTATTATAAAACATGCACGTGGGCATTAGTGTTATGAATAGCTGTAAATATCTTATTTTAAAAATAAAATAAACAACAGGAACTACTGTGCTATTTTAAAGCTCTACATTACATTTTTATATAAGTGTTAGATGCAGTGGACAGTTATAATGAGAAATGTTCACACATGTAACGGTGCCCTAGCTACAATTCAGTTTTTTTTTATTTCCACTGCTTTGATCTATTTATGTGTTTTAAGGAATGTAATAGTTTTATAAACCACGAAGAGAAATCAAATGACAACTAAGAACTTTTAAAAAATCATTTCACCATCAGTGTAAGTATGAAGCATTACATATTTTTTTATTTTCTTTATTTTTACAAAACATCAATGTGTATACTTTAAAATTAAAATTATTTGTTACGGCAAAGTGTTACCATTTAGCTTATTAAATAAAAGCAGAAAAATTAAAAGCATATTAAAAGCCCAATCATATTTATTCTACATTTCTATAGGTGGTAGCTACTAACAAGTAAGACAGCATCTTAAGAACATTTTACAAGCAAGAAAATGGAAGTGAGTATTTTTTAAATTCCTAAAGATTCAAAGTTTTAAAAAGCAAAAAGAGTTAAAATCTAAAAATGTTTCATGTGACTATGATTTATTTAGAAATAAATTATTATTTTTAATCATACCAGTATAATTTTTTTTTTTTTAGAGAAATATTTTAAAGAGATGCAGGCTTTAAAAAAAAAATTCTATTCTAATATATCACAGTGCAAGAGAAATATATGTAACTATTAAAAAATCATGCGCATTTAGAGAGACACTAAGTTCTGCTGCAGTTTTTATATTCAATAAGCTATTAAAATTAGTTTTTGAAGTCTATTTGTTCATCAATATGTGTAAATTGAAAAATAATTCATTTAGCTTTTTCATTATTTAATTAGGGCATTATTGAATTCATAGACTAAATTGCTACATGATCAATAGAAAAGTGTCCATAAATTATATGACAATAGGTTCTATATTTTCTACATTGTTTAACATTATTTTCAATTTAAATTGTTTCTATGTTAAGTAAATTAGTCCAATTCCTCAAAAGGGATTAATAGTCACTATTCCACTCACGCCCTGTATTGGTCACATTCTTTGGTCAGGATTTCTTTCTCTTTGACCATACTCTCAAACCTAGAGTGAGTTGATGAAAGGCGTACCGTCTGCTCTGAGCCCTGGCACTGAAGATCGGTCAGCTGTTTTGTTAACCGACTCACCTCTTCCTCTAGCCGCTCGGCCCTGACCTTCTGTGCCCTGCATGATTCGTGAGTAGGTAAAAAGCATTTGGTGGGTGGCAACAACAAAAAATGTGCAGACGTGATACATTTACAACAATATACAGCAGGTGTACCCCAGAAATATAACAGCTTAAAATTCTTATTTCAGGCAAGACTTTTTTCAGTTAACCTGCCTTAGTGTCTATTACATAGCTACCAAAAATAGAATCTTTAATCTTGAGGAATCTTTAATAATATCAAATAGAATAAAAGCTTAAATGTATGAATAAATATTAAGTAAAATATATTTTAATTATTGTCACTTTTACAAGGGTTTACAAACACCAACTTAGGCCACAACATCCTCGATAAATTACAATTTAGTTATAAAAACTATACATTTTCATATAGGAAAACAATATTATCCATTATTTTCATTTACATATTGAGACTATAATCATATTGAAAAGCTTTGTTTAAATTCAACCATCTTGGCATGGTAAGCAATAGGGCAATGAAAATGTGTCTTATCAGTGGATCTTTGTTAAGTGGGGTACACCTGATTAAAATTCAAATACCCATTAACCTACACACACAATGTACAAAGTTTGGGACACATGTGTACAAACTCAGTTGAGGTGGATATGTTCACACACATTTATTTGAGGTGGATATGTTCACACACATCAAGTATGAAGGAGATGTGTACAGATAAGAACTTTACCAACACCACAAATATAAGGAAGATGTGAGTTACACAGAAAAAAAAAACCCACATTTGTGCCATGTTTAACTAAATCATTTTTAAGTGTGTCAACAAATTTAAGACATTTCAACAACAAAATATTGATCACTGAACTTCAAAGCATTTTAAGTTTTGCTGAATGGTGGACAGAAATATTTATTGAATATCTTTTGCAACTTGAACTCAAACTTACTGAAAGTGCAAGAATAACAACAATGTCAAGTTTTGTTCTGCCAAAGTAAAATGGTCACCGATTATTTAGGTGATGGCGATGGATTTTGAAATAACTGCTGCACTCTTTTCAAACCATGGTTGCCTTATTGATAGCTCAGAGTTACCACTGAATGGCAAAGCAATTCTCAAACACATCAATGACTTGTTTCAATGTTATGCTTCCATGTAAATAAATGCCCAGGATCAGCTTGTGGAACCAACTAACACTCAATAATAGTTAGTATCAACTGTTAAATTAAAAAATACTAGAGCTTGACTGGCAGGATGTGTCATTCAAAGGTTAAGAAATATTAGTGTGTTACCCGAGTAGAGGTTTAAGTGATTTATGAGATGGCCCCAATATTTCTATCACAGTCTTGATTCACAAAACGCTATGCAGAAATATTGTGTGTGTTATTACTACAGGATTAAATAAACAATGAAAAAATATGCCTACAGCATCAGGGCCACAATGTGGAAATAGCCGGGACACATGAGAAGCTGAAGGAAGCCATCTCATCGTCACGTGACAAGATGGCTCACTATTTTCAGCCCCGACCAATATGCAATCACAACAATGACACAGTGACTAAATCACTAAGGTTCACTAAATAAAGTTACAAAACACAAAATGTTAAAAATTGATGGCATTAGACTGCTGGTAAAAAATGTTAAAAAGCTTGCAAATCCTAGCAGAATATAAAAATAACCAAGAATTAAGGTATCGTATTCCCCCTGGATTTTTTTTTGAAACAATTTTCCTAAAGAATGCAACCAGTCTAAGACATGTTCAATTCTATCCCTATGATCATCTACTCTTTTAAAGGCAAGGTGGGTTTTTTGGGGAGATTGTTGTTTTTTTCAGATGGTCATTAACTAAAATTCTTTCTCAGTGGTTTCGAACCCTTTTCTGGTCGTAACCCATGGGCCCAATGTTAATTTTATACTTCTACTTTTTAGTCATTAGTGATGTAGAAAAGCTATGCAATTAATTTTCTGCGTTTTAAAAAATATCTTTTCATTTCCATGAATCTGAAGTGTAGTTTAATGTGTTAGCAGTGAAAGAAAATTGACAAATATTATCAATTATTTTTAATATTCAGTGAGGTGAAAAAAAAATTAATCTAGCTGTTAGTACAGTAACAAATCAGGTTAAGATTATTTTAAAACCATGGCTAAAGAAGAAAGCAAGTTATAAGTAACGAATAAAAATTTAAATCAAAAATATAACCCAAGTGCTGACCTGGCAGCTTTCTTCAGTGTCTCTTTGTCCCGATCGGTCCTGTCCTTGGATGAGGACACAATCTCCTGGAGATGCTCCTTCTCTATCCTCTCTTGAGCCAACTGGCCCTCCAAACTCTGGTGACAGAATAAATTTATGAGGTGCGCTTTTTTGGTGTGCTATAGATGTGTGTTATTGAGGTGCTATTGTGATGAGTTATTGTGGTGTGTCATAGTGGTAAAGTTATTGTGGCATGTTATAGTGGTGTGTTTTTTGGTGTGCTTTTGTAGTGTGCTATTGATGTGTTATTGAGGTGTTATAGTGATGAGTTATTGTGGTGTGTCATAGTGGTAAGTTACTGTGGAGTGTTGTAGTGGTGCGTTTTTTGGTGCGTTTTTAATGTGTTATAGCACTGGATATACAGCTAATGTTAAAATGCCATGCGTAGGTGCATATCTGGTAGGCTCAGAATTGGAAACGTTACCACACATCTCTTGATTACCCCGCTGGCAGCATTCTTCCACCACCACCACCCACAGTCAATTATTCTCTCTCTTTTTTTTCTCAATTCCCCACCCCCCTTTTTTTTTCAGTTGCACTTTTAACCTCCTTCACTCATTATGGTTGGACCCGTCACATAAGAACACATGCTTCATAGTGAATGTTACCCCCAGTCAATTATTCTCTCTCATTTTTTTCTCAATTCCCCCCCCCCCCTTTTTTTTTCAGTTGCACTTTTAACCTCCTTCACTCATTATGGTTGGACCCGTCACATAAGAACACATGCTTCATAGTGAATGTTACAAACTGATCTAAGTCACTTATTTTTGGTTCATTGTAAATTGTAGGTAAAGGTTAATCATTCATTTAGAAAACAAATTATAATTCATTTGTTGCCCTTTTAAGTGTCCCCTATGGCATCAGTCCAATCTTGCCTTTACCCTCTCTAGAAAAAACCCCATATCCTACCCTGATCTGCACCGCCATCCTGTTACAGTCAGCCTCTTTGGTCCGCAACTGTTTCTGCAGATGTCCACGAGTGCTCTCCAGTGAACCCTGCAGGTTACTCAGGGCGACCCTCTCCTCCTGGAATAAAAAGTTATCATTTATTCAGAGCCTAATTTGCTAATATTTTTTTGGGTTCAACGTTTCAAAAATTAGGAAACTGCCTTTAAATAATTCTTTGGATGTAAACATTTCTTTCACTACTGAAAAGAATCAATTAAAATAGTATGGAGGAAAAATTAAAAAGACTAAAAAAGGATGCAACAAGGTACAAAATGATAATTTGATTGAAATATTCTGCTCTTAAAGATAACCCTGATTTAATAGAAATATTGATTTGAACTGGAACGTTTCTCTACAGCTCTTGGGTATAATGGTGTGTCCCCCTATGAGATGATTGTCCTTGGCGACATGACTATGTTGGACAAAAGTTTGCTTGGTGTTTACAAAGAGTGTATAGAGCCTATGGGTGTACTCAACTATGACCTAGTGTTTCCTCCCACCTTTCAATGGTGATGGTTACATCAATCTGTGTAACTCACATTCATTCAGACACACGAGTTTAACCGATCTGGCATGTGCGTGCACACACAAGCACAAATGCACCCACAAAGGAGCATTGATTACCTTCTCCACACGCAGCTGGTTTCTCAGGTCGGCAATGAGAGTCTCACAATCCAGCAGCTGATTCCTCATTCTCTGTAAGCAAATTAAAAATTGGTCAAACCAATTCTAAAATTGGGCACTCGAAGACATTCCCTACAATCACACAACCCCAATTTTTTTTCCATAACATACCAATCCACATATCCATATACAGATGATCATTGTGTTGGTTATTAGTATACTTGATTTGAATCGCCTTAAAAGTAAGTTTTCTCATTAAAAAATAATAGATTTCACATTGTTAACCCTTTCAAAACCAGCCAATTTTCTTTTGAGAACATGACAGAATTCACTTAGTTATCCATATCAAATACAGACATTTTACTATTAATAACATAACTAACTGCCCTAACCTCATTCATAATATCTGAATCAGCTAATTTCCTCATGAGGACATCCCTCTGCTCACTGAGTCTCAAACCATTGGCCTCCAGTTTGTGTTGATCCCTCAGCAAGCGGCGGAGGGTTCTGTTAGAGGCTTCAAAATCTGACATGGTCACCAGGAACAGTTCCTTCTGTTTGGCCAGCCGAGCTTGGTCGGCTGTGGACAGCTGATAGTTGTCTTTCAGTCTGCGGATTAATTCTTTGAGGTCTCGAACCTGGAGAATATCAAATGTATTTTCATGAGTTTTGAAATTTTAAAACAATAAAAGGCAGTATTCATGGTTTGCAACAAAAGAATATATAATTATTTATCTATTGCCGATTTTCAGCATTTCTTCAATCATATATTGTTTAAAGAATATTTTCTATTTTAAGTAAATTATTTTTGTTCAAGAAAAAAAAATATGTAACTTTTTTTTATTATTGGGTTGGGTTTTTTAATTTATTTAATTTCATAACTAATTTCTGGTAGTTGAAAAATTGTGAATCACTGTTCAGTGAAACAAAACTTTTTTTTTAAAATGTAAAACCTTGCCTGCTGTGCTGCAGCATGCCCATCCATCTCTGCCTCAATCAGTTTCTTCATTAACTTTTCCCTTTCATAGTTCAGCAAATCTTTCTGGCTTCTTTTTAATGAAACAAAAACAAAAAAAATTTAGTATTTATTTCAAAATAGGCAAGAAAATAAATTGGATTAATTTTATTTTTATGTTTGCTTCAGAGAAATCGCTTCTGTTTGCGCTGTGGTGTCAAACTTTGCATAATCCTTCTGAAACATGAGATAAAAAATAGTTTCAATACACTTAATTGCATTGACAGACCAGTTTACTCTCAAACTCTTAAAACCGTACAATATCATCACAAAATCGTTGAATACATTATCTTAATAGGAAAAATAAACATACAGTATATACAATGCATACACTTCAAAATCATACATTGTACACCAATATCGTAAGAGTAAACAGGTCTGCATTGATTTTTTTTTTTTTTTTTTAAATATTAACCCTTTACAGTCCAAACCTATTCAGCCTTGTCTACTCCCAGCGCCCAAGCAAAGGGACATAACTCCATTTTAAATGAAGGTTCTTTATCTAATTAATTTAACGAAAATAAACTACAAGCAACAAAATAAAATAAAAAATACCTAAATACAAAGAAATGATTAAATCAAAAGTTAAACCTAAAAATAGTTTCAGAGACCCTCCCACTCATGAAATAGTGTAGCTTCATTAGGCCTAAGTTCTTTCAAAAGTGTATCCAAGGCTTAGATAGCCATTTTTTACAGCGAAAAAATCGCGACTTTTAAAAAAAATCACAGAAAATCAGCCCCTAAGCACACCGCGGTCAAACCAGTATCAAAATAAATGCCGACAACGAGGCTTTCTTCCGGTAGAACTATAAATAGTAATGCGCAATGGATTTCCGCTGTGCTAAGAACGAAAGTAAACAACCTCGTAACGGGCGGGTTTGGCCGCATCGGACTGTACGCTTAAGGAAAAAATCGGCGCATTTCGGGCGCATCGGACTGTAAAGGGTTAAAGACTTTGAACTGTGGTCATCAAGGAATGATGTGTCAGGTCATTTATTGCAGAAATGGATATTACGTTCAGAAATAAAATAAAAAAACTAATATGATGCAAAATAAGTATTGTGTCCCTATCATTTGGAACAATCTCTTAAAGGTGAGTTTGATAACAAAAATTGCACATTGAAAATAAGTCATATAAATTTTTTAAAATTTAACACAACAAAAACTTGAACAGAAATTCCTCAAACAAAACTGTTCAAAAAGATTGCTCAAAAATGTAAATCTTCACATTTTCAAAAGAAAACACAAACAATTCAGTCAAACCTGGATTCACTTAAAAGGACTGAGCTTTTTGAATCAGTACTGGAGAAAATGTACATAAGGTGTTAAAATCAATATAAATGGACATTCATGAGAAAAATAAATTGAGCTTTATCAATGATATACCCCTTGGAAATGTTCTTAAAGCACTAAACTTTTGACTGTCATGCTATGGTTTATTTTCAAATAAGCTGGTTCAATACTGAAACCAATCTTAGAAATAAAACTTTTCTTATCAAATTAGTGGTGCTAAGCCCTGTGAGAAATATCTAATTTAATTATTGATAGAGCAACACAACCATCTCATAAATTTGTAAGCTTTCGTTTCTCTAAAGTCATTTAAAAATGCTGCATTCCCATTAGTGAAACAACTATTATTTTCTTGGAAATTTAATAAACCAATTGTCAATATCTCCATTATAACACCATAAATGAATGATGGTTATAAGCTTGTCAAGCAAATAGCAACCTCAAAAATGAAATGTATACTGAATTGATGATCAATCTTTAATGGCTTCTTGTGTTTCCGAAATTCTATAGGTTAAACAAAAAGATAATTGAAATCAAAAGCACAAAGATGAAAGCCATCAGTTCTCAGTCTCACCTTGAGGCCCCTTGCACACTACCTGAGCTAACTTTACTGGGCTCTTGATACACACTGAAATTTATTATAGGAAATAAGTATCTTTTAGACAATGTGCCCAGCCCTTATCCTTGCCCCTGAACTGTATTTTTGGGTAAAAAAATGGTGAAAATCTCAATATCCTTAGTTTCAAATAAAATCTTATCCAGTCTTCCCCTTTCTAATTTTTGATGTAGGGATACACTTATGCAAATATGCCCACAGTGTGTCAACTCCCTTGAACTATATTTTCCTATGTTAGCAAATGCGCATGCCATTTGTTCCACTATAAAAGGAATATTACTTTTCGCGCTATTGAAGAGCCTAAGGCAATGACATATATTATTAATTAATGTCTGGTTAGAAAAATATGTTATCCAGTTAAGAGATATACATAACCAAAAAACAAAAATACAGTAATAGCAAGATAACCAATGAAAATTTGATCAATATTCTCACAAATTTGTTGTGAAGATATTTTTAATAATTTATTATAACATAAATTGTACAAAGCAATAAGTGTTAGTGCATCAAACATCTCATTCACAAAATAAAAGTATTAAAATTGTCACTAAAAAAAAAACAACAAAAACATCAATGATCCTCAAACCTTGAGCTCCAGGAGCTGGTGTCATTATCTTCATTAACTTTATTCCCTTCGCTACTGTCAAAGGCAAAGTTTTATTAGTGTTATCAATCCACACACACATATAAAAGTGAAAATTATTTTAAGTCTTTCAGTGCACCTTTAATTTGACCATTGCATAAATAGTGAGGGAGTCAAAACCCTGCAGAATAGAAAGTCGAGAAATCTCCCTCGATGTAGACCCTTCTGGAAGCTTTCCCAAGCAGGGGTGGTAGGGGAAATGAGTAGCAGAGTTAATTGGTGACATCAGTAACAAAAAAAAAGGGGGGAAGGTAAGATTACATGTAATGGCTGACACCTCGCAGGGTGAACAAAACTAGGTCCACACACAGGCTATGACAGGGGGCCACAAATAGATGTCTAGGATTACTAGCATCAAGGTGGTAGCAGGGTCACTTGAATTTGAGGTCATTTAAAGCTATGAGCAAAGTGCCAGGTTGGATGAAACAATCTGCAGCTTTCAAAGATGGAAGATAGCAGCCAATCTGGCAAGAGAAAAAAAAACCTGACAGCCTAATCTATCCCAACAGTATGGGCTGAATGCACACACATATGAATACTACCTAAAACCTAAGCAAACTTACTTAGTGATCTCTGCCTCCTCTGCTATGAGCTGCATGTTCTGTCTAAGTAGCTTATTCTCTGTCTCTGTGACAGCAAGCTCCTCCTCCACATGCTCCAGCTCCGCCTCTTGCCTTTCAAGAATTCTTGAGGATGTATTGAGGAGGTCTTCCTTGTGCTCAATTTCCTGCAGTGCTTTCTGCAAGACTACCTGTGAGTTCAATGTGTGATGCTTATTAATGTCATATCTTCAGCTAGCCCCATTTGGAAAATGTCAATGATCTTACAGAACATATCACGGCACTTAGTTACTTGTTTATATATTCCATTTCTTTTCAAATCTTTCAGCATGGACTGCCAAAAAATTATCCTCATTAAATAGCCTAGCAGTGTCCAATTTATGGTGATTGTTTTTTTGTTTTGTTTTTTTCTATCTATTTACATTTTTCATCTCTAAGGATTGGTGTCTCAGGGCTTGGGTAATGGTGACCATCTGATGACCATCAATGAGCAAACACCTGAGTATTCACCATGAGATGTCACATACAGTTCATACAATGCTTCGAAATTTAAAAATTAAATACAACTTGAATAACAAGCTACAACTGATCCAACCACAATTATAGATCATCCTGTTTCTAATATATTTTTATATTCTTTAATAGTTTCTTTAATTGCCTTCCATCATTCAAATTGACAAGATTAACAACACTGCTCTCCTCCAAGGATTTACACCCAAGTATGAATGATTTTTTAATAATAGTCAAGACTTAAAAGTTATAATATTATCTTTCAAGGAGATATAAATTTTTTATAAAAGTATTTTCTTTTTTTTAATCTGAAATACTTGACACACTTTTATCCTGTTAAAAAGCTCTATTATTCACAGATAGGAAAATATAAGTGTAAAACAAAGCTTTGTAAAAGGTTAAGATTTTGAAATAATTAAAATGACAGAAAAGTTAAATGCAAAAAACATGGCACAAAATTCTTGCTAAAAAAAATTAAATATAAACAAAGTAATTGAGTAACTTGTCATCTCACAAGCTTCAGTTCATGAGCAACACAATGTAGCCTGCAGGTATCCACCAACTTTGACTGCGAGACGTAGTTAAACAATCTTATAAGCACACTACTTAATATACTCATTAAAATGAAAAACTAAGTCAGTGCAAATAAGTCTTGGTGCAGCTTTAATGCATCAAAAACTAAAGGATGGGATTTTTAAATGGAAAAAAAAATTATCAGTTAAGAAATGGGGGGGGGGGGGGGGGGGGATTACCTGCGGCTCAGTACACAGAAGAACTATTTATTTACTTTAATAGATTCAAAATTAAAAACTGCAATTAAGTTAATCAAGGCAAAGTGCATGTTACTTTCTTGAAATCTCTTAGATGATCATCCTAGACATTATTACTATTGATAATTACCTCATTTTTAAGGGTTCCAACCTCATTCAGGAGGTTGTTAATTTTCTTTTCATATCTCCTGACCTCTCCGCCCACCCTCTCTTCATCATCTGTTGAAAGATCACTGCTGCGCAAGTGGTTAATTTCAAGCTTTCCTGAACCCTGGGGATTAAAAAAAAAATTGGGATTAACCACAGCATATAATAACATGAAATATTTTAAATGTGTTGTTTGATTTTTTTTTTTTTACTTACATTTAAAGTTTTTAATTTCTTTACCAACATTTTCTCGGAATTTTTAAAAATCCCTTATTCTCATTTTACTATTTTCAAAGTGCCTAAAAGAAATTTGAGGAGTTTAATCTACAAACAAAAAACTAACCTGCCAGGTGACACGTCCACCTCTCGTTGCTTTCCCAGGGGCAGGCACCCAAGGACCCGACTTTGATGGTGGGCTCATGCTCCGAGCTCTAGCCCTTGATGCAGCTGTGGATCTCTGTAGCCTTAAGTTACTGGATGATTTGGCCAAAGAATTCTGGATGTTGACAATATTATTTTAAAGCACTTTAAAAACACAATCTAATAAATTCTAATAATACTTTTAATCTACTTTTTCATTAAAAGAAAATCGACACATCACAAAATATATACCATGTGGAATGTAAATGAAGTAAAATTGTCTTCTTTAGAAGGTCAGCTTAGATTAATATAGCTATGAATTAAATGTTTTACCTTTTTCTTTCCTTTTTTAACGTGAACATGAATGGGTGTATCATCAGTATGGACATGGATGGGGGAAGTAGGATGAAGCCCCTTTTCCTTCGTCATTTTAGAGGCCCTCCCTGAATAAAGAAATGTTCAAATTTTTAATATTCCATTATTTTATATGATTAAAGAAGCTAAAATAGTGTTACAACTAAATGAGCTTAAATAGTCACAAAACATATTACATAACTGTTCCAAGAACAAAACAGGCGTTATTTAGGATCAGATTTTTGAAGGGAAAAAAATATATATATTTTTTTACTGATTTTTGTTCTACCATAAAATGTGTGTAAATTGCAGAATTGGGGTTTGCTGCTTAGTAAAAGGGGTAAAGGGAGTTAACTGATTTGTACTTATGGGTTCACACAAGTTGCTATAAATATTATATTTAAGAAGGTAAAGCTGGTAACAAAGAACTTGAACTTACAATAACATTAACAATTTTTAAAAAAATCTTTTATGATTTAAATGTTGCATGAATCTTCCATTGAATTAGTTTGGACTGATACGGCTTTGGCTTCAAGCGACTAGTGACTAAATGCAATATGGACTTTTTTTTGGGCAGAAATAATAATTTTTTTAAATGATTAAAACAATGTTATGGTATATTTTTTAAGTCATGGTTGGGGGGCAGTATGGTGGGGTAGAGTTCCCCCCGCAGTTGCGTATGAAGAGAGGTGCAGAAGGGCAGTCAGCCCCAGTGGCACTTTTTTTCTTTATATAGTGGGGGCAGAATTTTTGACAAACTGCAGAGGTGAAAAGATGGAAAGCGAAAATCTTCACATGCCCGGTGGCACGAACCCTAGCTACACCACTGTTCCACCTATTTAAATGAATAATTAATAAGTTATTAATAAATTTACAATAATTCATTAATTTATTATATATATAGGCTAATATTAAAATATTTCTTTATTAAGGAGTCAAAGAAATTTTTTTTAAAATAACAATTCCATTGGCTTTGGGCCTAAACAAAGAGCATGTCTATCATAAGAGGGTTAACTACTCAATAGCATTCTTAATATGTTATTATGATTATGTAATATGAAACTTATTGTATAAAATAGGATTATAGGGCATCATAAGTCAAAGCCTATGCCTTTGGGCACAATGGTAAATCATACCATTTAATAGGATATGCCAGTTATTTTGGTGTTATAATCATAGATTATATTATTTTGCATATCTGGAATGTCATCTGGGTAGACATCTTGTAGGCCTAATAAGGGGTGGAATCTCAAATATCATTGGTGTTATTAGAGTCTATTTGTCTGAATCTTAATCTTATTAATAAATTTAAAAATTAAAATATTTGATAAGGTTACACGCCATGATACCAATATAGTCCTTTTAAAAAAAAAACATTGGATAGGAACCAGCAACCAGAACAACTATCAGAAAGAAAAGTTTGCATGATGAGAACAGTGACAACGGGGTATATCTAATAGACTTCACTACAAGGAAAGGAATGATAATCAGCAGCACAATATTCCAAAACAAACAAATACATAAAGTGACATGGATATCACCAGATGGATGTACCCATATTCAAACTGATCACATACTCATGGACCAGAGGCATGGATCCAACATATAAGATGTACGAACCTTTAGGGGCAGACATAGGCACAGACCATATACTTGTAAAAATAAAAAATAAACTAAGAATTTGTAACATCCATAATAAACCTAGTAAAAGAGAAAAACAGTACAATAGCCAGAAGTTAAGTAGGGACCCAAACATTACTGAGTCATATAAACAGACGATTCAAACTAAACTAGAATAATTTAAAATGGCCAACAAAACAAATATAAATAAGCACTGGGGAAAAAATTATGCAAATTGTTCAAAGTGGAACAGAGTAAACAATGATAAAACAGGAATATAACAGCTTTCAAACAAGATTACACAAGTGTGGAAGGTTGGATGGAGAACTGATCACAGAGAGTAGTAGGGTACTAGAGAGATGGGCAAAACACAGTGAAGGCATAGAGGAGCCAATTAGGATTATGATCTACCACAAGGAGGACTGGACCCATTTGTCAAGGAAATTCACTATCATGTATCCTGTTCAACATCGCATTATAAGAAGTCATGACAAACATATACATGAGCACCAGTGGAACAAGCCCAAACTACTTCCAGAGAAACATTAGAGAATCACAACCATCAGGAAATTTATATAGCCAACCATTACAGTACCTAGCATATGCGAATGACATAGTTCTATTGGGCAGAAACAGCATGATATAATTAAAGCATTCAGGAACTTGAAGATGCATCAATTAAACCTGGTCTTGAGGTAAATGAAGCCAAGACAAAATATATGGTTATGTCACAAAACATGCATACTGAGGAAATCAAAATAAGCAACCACACCTTTGAGAGAGTGGCTACTTTCAAATATCACGGATCTACTATACATGAGCAAATTGAAATAATGTTGGAGGTAAAAGAAAGGACAACAGCTTGCAACTGTTCTCATATAAGTCAACAAAAGCTACTAGGGTGAAAAAACCTCTCGAGAGTAACAAAGAAGACAATATACAAAACTTTTATAAGACCAGTTGTAATTTATGCAAGTAAGACTTGATCCCTTACAAGAAAAGCAGAGAAACTGCTCAACACCTGGGAGAGGAAAATCCTAAATATATGGGCATGGGATATCAGTATTAAACAATGATGGATGGAGAATTTGTACAAAGAGATTTATAAATTGTACAAAGACCCAATCATTATTGCAACAATTAAAAAAGAGAGAATCCGCTGGATATGACACCTTGAGAGGATGCCAGATTGTAGAGCACCAAGAGCAATCTATAGGCAGAAACCTAGGGGAAGAAGGCTCACCATTCGACCAAGACTGGGATGGATCGAGGAGCTAGATTACTAGATAAGGATTAAACCAGCTGGAGGTGGAAAGACATGTATCAATCCAAATAGAAGGATGCGGTGGAGCAGGTCAGGGTCCTATATGGGTTGAAGTGCCCCTTATGACTGATGATGATGAAAAATTAAAGGGAAAAGAAAAGAGTCCAGTAAAAGTTAAAGGCAGGCCAATTCAACATAACTTAAAAGTTTCATTTCTCTAGTCTAAGAGTCCATAAGAGTAAGCACTATGTGAAAGTCTTACTTATTCCTGTCTTAGATATACGGAGTACTACCTTTTTAGCTTTACTGGGCTTTAGACCTAAGTTGTTACTTGAACATTTAGACTATTTCAATTTTATTATTTTTAAAAATTAAATCATGCTCAAACTTGCAATATTTTACTACAATTGTCGGTGTTATTTTATTTTTTGTTTACACTTCAATTTGAGTCGTAACATGGAAACTGTAAATATCGTATTACGGAAGGTATAAAAAAAAAAAAAAGAGCATTCAGTTACCTCGGAGCATTTAACTAAAATTTAAAATAATAACAAATTCCCATTCAGTCTGAGTCTTGCGCCAAGGCAGTGGCCATTACCTTAAACAATTTAGCCAGACATGATTTTATTTGTTTTCGTAATATCAAAGAAAAAATAATAAAATTTAATTAACTAATAACTCATATAAATGTATTTATTGAATTATTTTTTCAAAAGATGGAAATACTGTTTGAATAAATATACTTATTTTATTATTTAATGGGAGAAGATTGTGTGTAATTTACTATTATAATGGTGATTACAAATAATAGCCTATCTGGCTAGTAACCTGAATGCACAACGACGGAATTTCTTGTTGCATTACAGTTCAGCAGTAGTAAAATCATTATAAACTAACACCAACCTTAATATGTGAATCTTTAAAATTTTATTAGGGGAGTGGGGAGGGGGCACTGGCCCTGAACGTCAACACCTCGGGAAGAAGGTACTAAAATCGTCTTTAGATATGACCTTTATATTGAATTAAATGATTATATTTCACAAATTCACCTAATTCACAAATGCAAGGGGCCCCAAATTTATATTTTTACTGGTCCGCCCCTGGACTTTTTTCTACAAATAATTTTTATGTTAGAGGGGTGTCATTTTCCTCGCCTTGACCTGCCTATTGACCTACCTTACCTACCTTTCTTTTAATATATCTTAAAAGTGCTCTTTTGGAAGAGATCGGCTAGGCAGAATCGCTGAGTCTGTGAGTGTAAGCATAAGCAACAGCAAAGTATTCAGAGTCAGAGAGTAGGCATATCGCGCATGCCCGAAGAAAACGCATAGAAAATAATAGCGAAATTGCCTCCAATACCGTTAGAACCCCAAAAACACGCGTGTTTTACATGTAAGGAAGTTACTGGCACAAATCTGACTCGCAAGCAGGGCCATGCGAGGGAGAAGTGGGCACCCACCCCAGGTCCAGTTGATGGGGGGGGGGGGGATTGCGTATGCCTTCTTCAGAAAGTGCCAAAAAGTCATGCCAAATTGTGAATTAATGAACACTTTTTAGAAAATTGACACCTAAATCCATATATTTTTCTCCTGTGCGTAGCCTATGTAGGCCTACTCACCGTCGAATTAAGCCTTGTTCATCATTAGAATGGGGCAAATAGGGGTCTTTCGCAAATTACGTCCCACCAAAAAAAAACACTTTCAGGACCCCCCCCCCCCGGGTCACAAAGTGTCACATATTCTTTAACCCTCCACCCCCTCCCTTAGTGTCACGTCACACCTAAAAATTCAAAATATACCCCAAAAAAATCATAACAAAACTGGGATTTTATTTTATTCTTTAACATTTTCCCATAATGGATTAAAGTATTATTAGATTACTGTGCCATAAAACGCAAAACAACGAAATCTTCCCAAGCGAAATGTAAATTGCTACAATAGTTTTTGCGTCATTTTTCGATATGTGCAGAACGTGTGAGCAACTAAGTTTCAAGATACTTATAATACCTGTTGAAATTTCGACCTCAAATTAATTTAAATCTATAATTTAAATACAAATGTTTCAAAATTAGAAAATTTTAGATTTTTTTTTTTAAGTGGGGCGTCACAAATTTTGACCCCCCCCCCCTTTCCAAACACATTGAAATGTTTATTGGATTGCATTGTACATTTTCGGCACATAAATAAAACAATTTGAACACAAGCCATCTAAATTAAATTATTTCACTACTGAAAAAAATAGTCATTCTGTGAATTATCTTAGCCATATCAGGGACTTCTTAGTTCTCATTATGATTTGTGACTTCATGCAGAGGCATAGCGAGGGGCGGGGGACAGATTCTCCGGGCGCCATCTTGTTAGGGGCGCCAAAATGTGCTTTGATATTATATTATTGGTAAAATTAATGGGTTTGAGAGTTGAAATAAAGAGCATGCTGGTAAATTTCTACAGATTGGGGAACAAAATAAATTGTATATGGGGC